GCGAGAAGGGGGAGGAGGAAGAGAGGAGAATTGGCTGCAAGCGCGCGATAGAGAGCAAGAGGAGAAAGCGATGAAAAGCCCGGGCAGGAAGTAATAGCCGAGTGATAGAGCGGGGAAATTTTTATGGGTAAATCGATGCTGCCTCCGCCGGTGGATTTTCGTGCCGCCCTGCCAACTTGTGCCTCGCGCACCGAGAGCAAAATAAAACCGAGGGAGGGAAAAACAATGACAGACGACGACGATAGCAATGAGGGAAGACGGCGTCGGGGCACGCAAGGAAAAAGAAGAAGAATAAGAAGAAAGAATCGTAAACTTGATGCCCGAGAGCGAGCAGCCGGTTTATTTACATTCGGATTTAGATTTAATTTTGATTAGTGCAGCCGAACGAGGAGCTATGGGCTCGTTTACTGCTGTTACAGCGAGATTCGCCGAATATCCTCGAGTTTTATCGTACTCTTTTTTTTTTTCCTTTCTACGCAATTTACGTGTATCGAGCTTATCTGTCGGTCGATGGTTTTTCAAGTAATTTTACTAGCGGTTCGTCGAAAACGTACTCAGCAAGAAAACTAATCATTCGAGTTGCTCGCAGCCGAAAATCCCCGAGAAACGGCGAGCGAAAAATAGTAAATGAAATGAAGGCGGCAGGAAGGGGGCGAGGTGAACGCGTACACCGGGAAACCGCAGAGGAAGAAAAAGACGGTGTATATATATATATATATATATATATATCGAGGTTCGCACGGGGAAATGGCAAGGACGTATATAAACGAAAGTAGCCAAGAGAGGGAGAGAGAGAGAGAGAACAGTAAAGAGTGAAATACCGCAGCAGCATACATATGAACTGCTTATTCCGGGCAGCCAGGCTAACTCGCACTCGCGCAGTTTAAAGGTATTTCGCAGGGGCTCGAAAAAAAAGTCCCTCATTGTTCCGAATAAAGCGCGCGCGGCGGTTGTAAAAAGAAAGAACGCGGAAGTCGCGCGCTTGTTTCTTTCGCCGGCAGTCAAAGGATAAAGACTACCCTTCCTTCTTTTTTTTTTTTGTTTTTCTTTTGATTTGACGAGAAAAACAAATCGATCGAGACCCAATTGCAGAGCGCGCTTCAGCGCGATGACCCGATCCCAAAGAGAGAGTCCCGATAAGAGGACCCGAGAGTCGCGGTCGAGTCGCCGTTGAATTTTGTTGCTTTCCGTTGTCGTTTTCGCGTTTTCCGTAAAAACTTTCTGCGCGGAACGGTGATTCGGCCTGACGTATTTGTTTACACCGCGATCGTCGTCGTCGTCGTCGTCGTCGCATCGCGGCAGCGAGTTTCTTGGCATGCCGAAGGAAACGAGGAAAGAGCGAGAGATGCTGCGCGTGGCAGAAAGTGCGCGCCAGCCTTGGCGATCACCTGCCTCGCGAGAGAAGTCGGCCACACGGCTCACGAAAGCGAGCGAGCGAGAGAGAGAGAGAGAGAGAGAGAGAGAGAGAGAGAGAGAGAGAGAGAGAGAGAGAGAGAGAGAGAGAGAAGGGCGAATCTCTCTCTTTCTGGCTGAAAACGGCATTCCGCGCGGTGAAGTTGCAGAGAGGAGGGGCGCGACCTTGAATGCCGGCCTAGCCTAGACCTTGTGCATGTGTTTTCTTTCTCCTCCACCTCTCCCGCGAGCGACTGGCAACTTATAACGGACCTCTCTCGCGCCTTGCCGCAACCGCACCTAGACCTACATTAAGGACACTCGCCCTGCTGCCAGTGCGAATGACCTTTGCGGATATATATATAGACTGTACATCTCGTTTGACACACATTCGATACTCGGAAGGAAAACAATTGATTTTTCTAATTATTCGCGCTACTTTTGCGCTAACAATTATTCGACTTTCCCTCGCGAGATTTGCAGTGCGGGACGACGCGTTATGAAATTCTTGGCTTTGAACGAACGTTCCCGAAAGCTTCAACGCACTGAAAGGTATTTCGGGTTTCAGGAAAATGTTGCGGATACTAAGAGTCAACATTTGTTACGAACTGAGCAATGATGTATTTTTGTTATTGCTTTACGCAAATGTTGCACAACGGATTACTTTGTATTTCTGATAAACTCCGATTAGACTCGGATTTTGGACTAACTGTGATAAATCTGGATAAATCTGATTTCTTTACAAGACGTGAACGATACTGGCAAATGCTACTTATTGAAAATGCAGGACGAATCGGCTTTCACAATAGGGATTACGATCGTGTAACGAACAAACTGCTTGTTAACGGAAAAATAGCGTATCCAGGTAAAAGAACTCGTCGAGGTAGACATATTTTTCTTTAAAAGCGGCAGTCGCGCGAATCGAGTGCATTTTTTGCGCCTTCCAGCTATACGTTTGCGGTCGCGAACGGAACGCTGACGAGGCTAATTCGAGATTCGTCCATCTTTTATCTAAGCCTGGTTTGAAGCGCTACTCGAGACATCTAGTGCTTGGATCATGAATCGATTTTCGCAGATCGAACGCTCCGTAGATCATTGCAAGCTTTTTTTGCTTCCTCATTCGGAGAAATCATTTCAAGGGTTGCGTTGCAGGAAGGGACTTTCAGTTAGCTTTATTACTTTGATATCACTAATTTTTTTGTATGACACTTATGTATAATTGTCAGACACACTTTACAATCGATATATCTATATTTATTACACTTAATTTTTGGAATTCCTTATTTATCATACTTAAAAGATCACTTAAACGATGTTTATTTCAGCCAATATCTTGTCTGTTGCAATGAATAATTAAACCACTGAAAATAGACAAATAAAAGCTTTCGTCGATTAATTTAATATAACGTTTACCGTGAAAATTTTCATGTGCGAAAAAGTATGCAAGATTACTGCATCCAACGTAACTTCCGTGTAATCGAAAGCTCAAGTAAATAAAAACTATATAGCAACTGACGCGAAGAAAAAACGTTATATCCAAGTTTTCCTCGAAGCTCATAAATATATAGCAGAAACGGGTAAAATGGAAAGTCTGATTGCAATGATTTGTTGATCAAAATTTTAATAATATTGAGCGTCGTGTGAGCGCAGCGCTACAAAAAAGGCCATTATCTCAAATAATCCGCGGGTGGACACTCCGCCAGAACTAATTTTAATAATGCACCAAATGAAAATTAATTTCACCGGCCAAGCGTTTTCTCGAGCGAGAAACACCAAATTAAAACGCCGAGCAAATATTTGAAGTAAGCGACAGATACGGAGAGAACAGAGCGCGAGTGGCGTCCGCGCTGCAAGCGCAGATTTTTTTTCCAACTCCATCCACTTTTTTTTTACCCCTATCTATGTCGAAATGAAGAACGTGCATATTAAAATTCCGGTAAAGTATTAAACGCATATACCGCGTTGGAATCTTGTATATTTTGAGCCTTGCACCTCTGCGTGCTCTCGTTTTTCCTCTCTTTTTTACGGCTTGATTCCTAGCTTTCTCCTCGAGCGCGAAAACCTTTTCTGTGTTTTTCTCTCTCTTTGTTTTTTTGTTATATTTCATGTTCTTGCTCTTTCTCCCCTACTCTTTTGAAAAAGACTTGCTGCTTGTTGGTTTCCTTTACATTTCCGTGTTTTCTACAAATACGTGTCAAAAGAGAATTATTATTTGAATAGTTCTAAACACTTACCTCCAATATAGTAAAAATCGGCACTGAAATTAAAATATACTCTGACGTTTACGCGACGTTATAATTGAGCTTTGTATAATTAACTGAAAATTCCGTTTACTGTCAGTGAATCCCTAAACTTTATAATTTAAAAAATGTATATTTTTCCTCCTCGTTTTCGATCTACCGCTCGTTAAAACTTTCAATTATCAAAGGAAGATGCAAGTATTAGTTTCAGCGTGTTACCAAGCGTCAACCAGAATACTGCCTGGAATACTTTACAAAACATATTTCGGAGCGAAAGTTTTAATTTTATCATGGTTAGTTTACAGGACGAAACAATTTCAATTAATAGTGAAATGTTTCTGAGAGCGATGCAGATATGCGTTCTTTTTGCTATTTCAGACTACCGAGACATTTGTCAATCATCGATACATATCGATCTTGCTTTGTTTTCTTCTCGATTTTCTATAATACAACTTACGGTTTTAACATCTCTTTGCGAAAGCGCTTATTAAAATCCATTGCATTATCAAGTTTGCTTAATGTTGAAAAAGAGTCTTCCTCTCTTTATTTACCTTTGATACAGCTTGCATCTCACTAATTTCCTTTTGTGTATCGAAAGTACTGCTGCGGTGCATAATAGGTCTGACGTATTATTTTTCCTTTTAAATACGTTTTTTTATCGTGAAGCAATCAACTTTTGATTAAATTACTAATTGAATCTTTTTTACCGGTTAAAATTTAAAGAGACTTTCGAAAAATAATGCTTTGGGAAAAATTTAAAAAAAGTCGAACGATCAATCATCACTACTAATTTTCCGCCAACTGGACTGCTCATTTTTAAATTAAAACTATTCTGAATATTTAGCTGCATAGAATATGTGGTCGCTTTATTATATTAAAAAATGTAATTACGTAAAAGTTTTAATTACGCTGATCTATATAAAATATATTAATTCACTTTTTCGTTTACGGAATTAAAAAATATTCTTACTATTGATTTATTGATATTTACAAAATTTCATGTAAAAACAGTTGAATTAACTAACTTTTGTAGTTTCATGACGTGAAATCCACAAACGTAACGGTTTTTTTAAATTGTTTCTATTCCTATATATGGGAATATCAGTTACTTAACGAAAAAACATACATAACACAACTCAGAAGTCACAACAGAAAAGTTACAGTTGCACTTACCACACTAAAAATATCTATAAACATTCTAAACAGTCTGAATTTCTGCTTTCGAAAATGGTTGCCTATATATGTACATGCACTGACCTCTGAGAAAAAATTAAGATCGTTTCCCCTACTCATATACAACGTTTGTTGACATTCCTTTGTTCAACTTGTCGGTACATGTATTTCACGTCTCTTGTCCACACTCGTTAGCCGGCCGGCGCGGTGTCCGTTTGTGGTTTTCGTATCGCATAGTTTACTGGCTCGTAATCGGTCGCAGTTTAAACAAGTGTGTCGATAATTGATATATTTCGAAGCGAATAATTAATATTACAGAACGGAAATTGACGTGCATGTGTATATTGTGTTTGTACTTTTTACATATAGAAGAAAGATGATACGAAGATTTAATCATAATCGGAAGAATGAAGGACGAGATTCATTGTCGAACATTCCTAATTATTCGGCAAGTCCCGTGATGATCAAATCCAAGGATGTCTTGTGCGGATTATGCAAGAACCGATTCTACATCGGCAAAGGTAAATCGACAATCCCTTTGTCTCGAGAGAATGCGTCTAACACTTGTTGCATGCTCGGAACAAAGAACTTTTTTTTATCACTGCGAAAAGTTTCCGTGCATGTTTCTTTTCTTGGTTTTAAATTATTTATATGTATTTTTCTTCCCTTATTTTCGATTAATATAAAAGGTTGATTGGAGTTTTAAATATTTTTACGATTGATTAAAAATTAAAGTAGTAATTTTCTTTCAAACCATTGCATTTTAATATTTTATCATTGATATTATTTAAAAGTATGTTTCGAGAGTATTGCTATGAAAGCAGTTATATCAGTTTTACAATAGTTATTATAAGTGGATTTTAGTTTGTTATTTGCGTTTGCAAAAGGCTTGAATTTTTTTAGGTATGAATGGAAAAAAGCTATATGATAAGTGTTTCTATTGCAGGTACACTACTACTATTGGCTGGTACATTTTTTTATTTAATTAAATAAGTTTCAATAAATTAACACAAAAGTATAAATTATTAAAATATTTAAATGAACTCATTTTTTTTTTTGTTTTTTCTCATTGCAGACTTAAAGGGTCACAAAAGTCCACTTCTTTTACCATGTGGTCATACCACGTGTAATACATGTGAATCTACAAGACCAAATATGCTATGTCCACAATGCCCAGACATATCTGGAGAAGCAGAACTTGTAAAAAGACAAAGATTGCCACATAACTTGTATGTTATTGGTGCACTACACGCACTTTCATCAATGCCGTTGCATACTATTGAAGAACCTGATTTTTCATTTCATGTATCAGCAAATGCTTTGGCTCGTCAACATTTTGAGAGAGGTTTGTTTGTATTGTTAAGCTTTCATATATTTAACATTAATTGTTTATTTCAATAACTTGAAAATTTTGTTTCAGGGCCTTGTCAAGAGTGTGGTATGATTGCTTATTGCGAGTGTAAAACTTGTCAAGCATTATTCTGCAAACTGTGCTATAAAAAGGTTGGATTGTTAATTAATTAATGTTAAGAGACAAAAATTTATTCATAATTTTATAATCCATATAATATAGTACTATATTAACAATATATTCATTTCAGTTGAGAACTGCAAATATTAAAAATATTTACTAATGGTTTTACTATTATTTCAGATCCACAAGAAAGTTCTTAAAGATCATGAAACAATAATTCTAAACATTTCCTATGAGTTGCCTATTACAATGTTTTGCCCAAATCACAATGATGGAGCTGATCCTGCAGAGTATTACTGTGAAGATTGTGACTTTGAAGGATGCTCTCACTGTATTCTTAAACATCATAAAAACCATAAGGCATATGCTGTTAGTGAGATAGTGAGTAAATAATTATCACTACACATTGCAAAGATTGACTTTAAAAATATATTATTTATTAAAAAAATAATTATAAATTCCAGAATGATGATGCAATGCCAGAATTCGAAGCAGCTCTTGAAAAAATCAATGAAACTTGGAGAAGAACTCGTCAAACAAAAAAGGTAAGATTAAGAGTTCACATTTAAAAAAAAATGAATAAATATATTTATTCAACAAATTCATAACATAGTTGCAAGTGGTAAAATACAAACATGTTAAACTTGTAATAAGAGTACGCAATGCCTCTTTTACATGAACAGCCTCTATTGTTCTTATAAGTTATATATTGATTATTGTGCCGGATGGATCGTGAATTGTTGTCAATTATCAAAGGAGCAACAATCAATAATGCCATTCAACTCTTTGATTACTTCGTTATGAATGGAGAAAGTTTGTCTTAATTACATAATTAAAGGACAAAAATATGACTAGAGGCGTTATAGAAATCCCCGTTGATGTCATTAACTAATATCACTCGAAAATAGTTTTTTTTTTTTTTTTTTTCTTTCATTTCCTCCAAAAGATTTCTCTTTCGCGCCTGTGTATTTCTAATGGCAACGATGCTTTGAAAATTTACAAAACTAACAGAAGTAATAGTCGAATTCTTCATCAATAAATGACAAATACAGTACTGTAAGATTTTTAACTAAGAAATTTCAATACGTAAATTACTTCTGCCTGATGTACGTATAAACGCAAATCAACGTTTCTTGGAGTCCTCAATAGACTGCAGAGTATTGATTGGGCTTTTATCCTTTTCATCTTGCCGTTCCTCTTTCTTCTTTTTCTTCTCCATCATCATCTTGGCCTCCATCTCCTTGAACTTGAGCTCGAGATATTTGTCGACTTCTGGTCCCGTGAAATCTTCGGGAAATTTGGGCATCACCGGTAGGATGTATTTGTAAAGACGTTCGTTCAGTACGTACAGCTGTGTCGTTGATTCGCATTTGACATTGAACCACCAGTCACAGGTCAAAGCTACTTGATTGAATATCGTTCCATTTGGACACAGGAACGATGACTTACCACCATTCAAGTCACAGTAATGCCAGACCTAAACATTAATTATTTGTCCGTTATAAAAAGTCAAACACCTAACTTACATATTTAGAGACTGCAGAGATCATCTCACCTGACAGCCAGTCTGAGGATCACCAAAGAAGCCTTTGTACCTCTGCTGTTTACAACTGAATTCCGTTTCAGGTATCTCAGTGTACGCTGGATAGTCGACATGAGGCTTTCCACGTGTAGCACCGTACTTCAAAACTGGCGGTATAGTCGGTTCAGCTATTTTCGGTGGTTCTTCGGTATTCACTGGTAACGTTAGTCTTTCATCCTCAAGAATCGCATCCTGATGGATGTAATTATTTTTCGATGCGTGTTCGATACTTGGCGACATCGCTGGATCTTTATTGACTGGAAAGAAAAAATCGCATTTTTTTGGTCTAATTTATCATAAACATTGACGTAGTGTTAATCTCATCGTATCGTCTCACCAGGTTTATAAGCTACAGCTGTCTCCTCATCGATGTCCTGAACGATGGGCACGTAGTACTGAACGATCTTCTGAATGTCCTGCGTGGGTGGCATCGGCGTACGCGTTTCCGTTGTTTGCACGTAAGTTTTTGCGTCGTCGTCCTCGCCGTGAACTTTTGGTGTTTTGGCTTGCTCGAAGCTCTCTTGAGGTATTTTCGACGGATCGAGGTAGATGCTCATCGGTTGCTTAACTTCGATCAAGTCATCGTATCGGATTGGCACTGAAGCTTTTGTATAATGATTTATCTGCGCTTGATCGACGTAAGGCTTGATGTCGATCAACTCATCATTGGGTACTGTTGGTTGAGCTTTTACTTGTTTCACGTAGGATACGTAGGGTTTCAAATCAAGCAAATCTTGGCTTGGAGTTTTCATTTGTTTCACATACGTTGAAATTGGTTTGATGTCAACTAAGTCTTCCGTAGGAATCGGGGTTGTGAATCCTTGGATAGGACGAAGGTAAGGTCTTGTCGATTTCAATTGTCCAACCAAGTTGTCGGCAGATATCGCCAATGGGGTTTTGATTTGATTGACGTAGGGATTTAATGGTTTGGTCTCGATGTAATCTTCGTATGGAATTTTTGACTGTTTGACGTAGGGTCGCGCGGTTTTGAATTCGTCGTGTTGCGGTGCCAGTGAGAATTGTGTAGCTTCGTAGTTGGACTCCGTGATAACTTTTGATTTCGTGTTTGGGGCTGTTTTCAATTTCCCATACGCTGAAATTACAAGTAATGGGTTATTTTTGCAAGAATAACTCGTAGTTTTGAAAAGTTTTCGTTACTAACTCGACGGGTAGTTCTCCTTCTTGCCAGCATTAAGAATATTCAAAATATCGACAAGAGTCTTGATGCTACTGTCGATGTTGTCTTTACTCAACACCTCGGGTAATTGATTAGTTAGCTGTAAACTCTTTAGCACGTGATTCAAGCTGACCCTGGGTGGAGTTTGTGGCGAAGGCCGTGTCGTTGCGTATCTCACAGTTGATGATGATCGTGGTGGTGCTTTTGGCAACTGTGGCACGAAACGCACAGACTCGAATTCTTGGCCGTAACTGGGGTAATCGGGTTGCGCTGGTTTCGCTGACACAAGCTTTGTGTACTCCGGAGGGCTGGTCGTGTGATAGCGTATCTCGGGTATTGTACTTTGAAGGCTGCAGACGGGCAAACATAAAATTATTTTTCATTGATCTTTCCAATTTAAATTTGACGAAATGACGAGAGAAATAAATCAACGTAGTTTATTGTGAAAACTCGATTAGTATTGCAGATAAGTCCATTTTGAATACTTACATAGCAACAGGTTTTGGTGTTCGAACAGCAGTGTAATCTTCGTAACTACCCTTGTCGTCATACCTGAGAGGTAAAAAAGTGTCGCTATCAGGACCAAGTTCTTTGGGGTCGTACTGTACCGAAGGCACAAATCGTTCATCTTGGGTCATTGGTTGCTGGTATTTCGCGTTCTTCACTTGCTGTTGTGGCCTTCTCACGTAATTGTTAACCACGTAGTACGTCATGTAAGGAATTAGTCGACGGTAGCGGTCGCGTAGTTCTGCCTCGGCGTCTTCCGTTGAAGCCACGGCATCATCGTCGTCGTCGTTGTCGTCATTGTTGTCATTGCCGTACGTTTGATTTACCAACACTCTGATCGATGCTGCATAGTGATTTGTTTGGATTACTGTAATCAAATATTGTTACAGTTAAGCTGCGATTGCATTAGCTTGTAAATGAAATATTTATGGCACAAAATGTTTTTTTTAATATATTGAGATTTTTACACGTTAAAAATTTTGTCGATAAACAGTATAGTCGTTAATAATCAGTTGATATTTATGCAATCATAAAAGAATTATTGGAGTAGTAATCAATTTTATGATCACGTATCATTGTAATCAATGTAGATGATGATAGCGACTTTACATATCGATGCGAAGAAATTGTTTTTTTTTACATGGAGGAATTCACACTGACAAACGTCTTAACTAAATAAGTTTCCCATCGATATTCCCAGCAAACTATCCGAAATACAAAATTTCGAACAGTAAACTCTAGGTCGAATAAAAATAAAAGGAAAATAATTCTCGACGGTAAAGGAAGAAAAAATGACCAGAAGGAAACTTCTTTTGTCGTTGGACAGACTTCATCAAATGACATCCACAGATTTTCGATTAATTTTTCGCTCATTTAACGGAGTTGTGAAATTCGTCAGTGCACGTAGATGCACTGAATATGATTTTCCTTATTTTTTTTTGTTTCTTTTTGTTTATTTTTGTTTCATTAATTTCGGTTTGACAGGCTCTCTCTCTCTCCTGGTGTGCTGTTGAAATATTGAGTACCACATCAGAGCATCTGTCAATTACGTCGACTCTCCATTACATTATTATCCTCCCTCCGAGAGAAAAGCTTTTACATTGGAATAATGCACGTGCATATATATATATATAGAGAGAGAGAGGGGGGGGGGATTGGTTTAACCGGAGGGTAAAAGTTGGGTTCATCAGAGAGGCGTATTTTTTTTCTGTTTCAGTTTTATATGATCCCCAACGGTACACGACGTTTGCCTCTTTGCAATGCATTCGCGTACCACCTCCGACGACAATATCCTTCGTCGCGTCCTACATATATCTTAAGAGCTTGTGATTAAAATTGCCTCCTAGCTGAATTTTCATGTTATAGAAATTTCACGTATGGACAAAAAGATCGAAAGTATATCGCGCAAAAAATAAAACTGCCTAGCGAATGATTTTTAAAACCCTCTCCGTTTTAAATAGTAAATCCGCAAATTGATTATTTATGGTGTATGTAACGGATGCGCCAGTCGCCTCTTTCTATTTAAAATTTTTTTTTTCGCTTCATCTCTCGTGTGAGCGGCGGTGGAATATATAACATCAAAGGCTCTCGCGTTACACACGGGGAAATTCAATTCGTCGAGAAAGGCTGTGCAACGAAATGAACACCGCGAGCTTTATTAATCCCCCTCCGCTCGCGCGGCAGAGTACGGAAGAGAGCTTTGTGATTGGGAAATCCGTTTGGCACAAAGAACAGTTTGGTCGACTGTTTGCGCGAGATTTTAGAGCGCATTATTGCGCGAAAAAAGCGGATGAACTGCAACCCCGCGAACTCCCGTGTCTCGAGGAAAGCATGCTCATTAGGCGACATCCCGTCTTGTGCTTGTGCTTTCATTCGTCTTTTTCGCTCCCGCGTTATTTTTCGTTCGACCTTGCTTAAAACCCGAATCGTCGAGGATGAATTGCACGCCTTTGCAGTATTATTTTGGTGCGATATTTGATTCAGCTGGGCGAAAGTCAAGCGAAATGCTTTTGCCACTTTGTTTTCACATTAAGTTGAAAAATTTGTTGTTGAATTTGATACCTCAGCCCTTCTTCTGTTGATTTCAAAGGGCATAAGACTCGGATATTCACAACACGTTTAAAACTGAAAGATAATAAGGAAATCTACAAGGTAGATAGCTTACTGTGCCATCCTTTGGCACGCCGATGCAGCGATTCTGTTTACGTATCTCGGATTTTTTTTTAAGTGAGAAATCGTTGAACCCTTCCAGGCGTGGCGGTACAAATTCTTTCTTTTATTTGTTACATATTCCAGATACATATTTTTATTTTACATATGTGCATATGTATTTTAAGACTTTTATTAAAAGACTAACTTACTAAAATTATTAGAGGAAAAATTGTCATAAATTGTTTATTAATATGCTTGTTCTTAAAAATGCGTGTAAATAAACGCACTTTTAAACAAATTGGTTATTCGACGTGGTCGACAACTGAGACTCTGAATTTTTTCTTATACGTACTCTCCATGGGTAGTTTGCTGATATACGACGTAGTACGGGTATCGGCGAATATATAACAAAAAAGTGTTTCTTATCAAGTGAATGCCAGATCGGTAAAATGTCGATCGAAAAGAGAAAAAAAGGAAGGACAATTAGATTCGAAGACGACGCGTTGGGCGGTAAAAAAATTGATCGCGGAGGGACCGACGTGCGAGCGTAAAAACAAGCCGTCGGCGTGGCGTGTAAGCTGGCAAAACGCAAATTGCTCGCGCAGATTGGCAAGAGCTTTCCGCCGGCGGCTTTGAAATAGACGACATCTCGCTCACCCGCCCGCCCCGGCGATCAATTTCGCGGGACTTGCTCTCGCTATGACCCATCAAACGGAGAAATATTACACCGGCTCTCTGCGCGTTTGTGTCCTGCCTGCCTCCCGTATGCACGCTGGAAATTGATTCCGCGCTCTTTCCCTGCGCTTTGGTTTTTTTTTTTTTGAATAATTCGCGAGGCGGGTGGCGACGTATTGGGCGCTCAAATTTTTAATGGGGGCTGTCTTGCATGGTTGGCTGGTTTTATTTGCAGATAGCCACGGTGTTGACTCGATCTTTTCGCTGACGCATGTTCCGATTACTTTTAAGGCGAGCCTCGATTATTTCCGTTTACTGATAAATTGATTACCCATCGCAGATCATATGATTCCAAAACTCAAGCGACAGAGATATTTAGGAATTAGCAAGTCATTAACTTTCAAGCCAGCACCTCATGGAGAATCCTCTGTTTCAGTTCGACATCGTTGCCGCATTTCCCAGAAATGTATTAAAAATATTGCTCAATGTGAGAGGTTTGTTTCTTGAAATTGAAAACACGCTGCGCTCGGCAAGATTTATGGGTTTGAAAACTAAATGGCTTGCGACTTGCTCGCGATGAACTATTAATTGCTAAATGATAATTGGAAATGTCGATCGGATCTGAAAAGAGGTTATGATTGCCGACGAGTTGAATACTCGCAATTTCTACGCTCGGCAGAGTGCACACAGTTCTGAAACTCAATTCGAGCTGTACATATTAGCGCTCCATCGCTCATTCAGAATAAGAATAATTTCACGGCCGATCAGCCTTTGATTGCGTATTAATTTGGTCGGCCGATAAGATCGCCGGTCGCGCGCAGCTCTCGAAATTTCCAATTAAGACTTACGTACGCGCGCGCGCTTTTATACGTATACATATGATGTATGTACGGTCCTTTCCGAGTTCTCGAGCCGGCGTGGCGACGCGCGATGGTGCGCGCCGGCGGATGTGGCAAGGCTCAAATTCACTTGGTAACGCGTAAAAACGCGCGGTTAAACGCCGCCAATATTCCGCGTCAGCGGTCCGCGTATAATGTGAATTGCGGAGAGATTCGACGTATTAAAATTTGCGGAGCCTCCCCCCCTCCCGCTGTCGTCTTTGTCTTTCCCCCTGATTTCACATCGCGCGCGCTCGTCGGCTGTTTATATGGTCGTCCGTGCGCGCCGCGGCTCCATTTAACTCCCTAATTTTTCACTTTCCAAGTGGTTCTTGCGTTCGGGTCACTGGCTCTTCCTCTTCCTCTTGCTCTTGCTGTCGCTGGGCATTAATAATTGATCGCGTTTTGTCGCCTGGCGACCCCCCCCCCCCTCCCGCGAGGATCGCGTCCTCTTCTCGATTCGGACGTTTTGCCGTTGCTAGCTTGGCGATTTCTCTTGTCGACAAATCGTCCATTGTCCTCTGGCTACCGAAGTGATCGCTCGGAAGCCAAACAAGTTTTTAACACGGAGAGGTTGAATTGAGCGAGCCTGTTGGTACGCTGCTCGCACACTGGCATTTCAATGCTAAAATTTCATTATCTCGTCGCGTGCGCGCAGCATGTTAAATCTGGAGCCACAAATCTCCAAAGTTAAGCTCTGCGAAGCAAGAAGATAAAGAATAACGCGAGAGCGGAAGCCAATATTGAATCGGGCGAAAGGGGGGGGGGGCGGCGGCGGCTAAATTATCCGAGAGAGCAGTTTAACCCAGTTTGCCGCGCGGGAGGATCAATGGGGTGCGGCACGCGTAATGACCGTGCGCCCGCGACAACGACGCCTCTACGGCGACTTGGCAGCTGCTCAACGAGAGACATGGAATTTCTTCCTCTCTTCGCGATTTGTTGTTGTCGCTGCTGGCGTTCCAGGGCGTCCCACCCCCTCCGCCCCTCGCTCCGTGACTTGATCTACAATCGAATGCTTCTGGCTAGAGCCGAGTGTCATTTTATCAATACACGAGCGATTTGTAGGCGCCGATGTCTTTCTCGCTTGGCTCGCAATTCCGAATATCGAAGCGGCGCAGGACTGGCTAGGAGCGCATCCGCGAGGAGGAAGGAAAAAATCAGCGCGCTCTTTGTTTACTCGAGGGAAGTCGTCGTCAAAGGGAGCGCGGGGAGGAATTCAACTTGCGCGCGAAAAGTTGGCAAAAGCAAGCACGGCCGATTGACAGCGCTTAAAGTTCTCCCTCCCTATTTTTTTTTTTTTTTTTTTTTTTTCCTTTCCGAAAGGAGCACGCCAAATCTGATTACGTCTTTTATGAACTGCGAGCTCGCTCTTGCGCTTCATTCGTCGGCGACCCGCGTAAGTTTTCCGTTAAACAGAGCGCTTCCTGCGGATCGAGTGAATTTTCGTTCGACGAGGCTCTCGCTCCGCGCGCGCGGCTTCTTTGCTCAGCTGGTCGCCTTTTTCAATTTTTTTTTTTTCCTTTTCATTTTCGCCTCCGAGCGTCGACTAGCGTCGACGACTCGTACCGCGCGACCGATACTTACTTTAATTTTCGCCAAGTTCTCTCTGCCGGCCGGAGGTTCGCTTGACGCAGAGACGGAATATTCGACGCGGGGCGCCGTT